CCCAGAACATCTCCCCTCCCCTTTCTTTATATATTAAATTCAATTCCTGGATTCTGTTAATCTCTTCCTGAATTGCACTGCTGGAGCAACTGGGAGCTCTTGGGTTCTGAGTGGGGGAGAACTGCTCAGAAACATGAAACTTTCAAGTATTCTGAGGTGGTGAGAGTGGTGAGTGCTTAGGAGAGGCTGAGGAGGAGATCTCTGTGGAGCAAAACCCGCAGTCACCTGTTAAGTTCCGCTAACTGGTGGCCTATGACAAGACAGGATATTTCCCACTGCCGTCCCCAGCTTTGAACTGCCAGAAGGGGTGGGGCTGACATGGGGCTGAGCTTTGGACTGGCCCAGAGGGGATGAATAAAAGCACTTGTGTGTGTCTGATGCGTATGACCATCCCAGAAACAACTGTAAGTCACATTGCCTTATATTCTGATTACGATCTGTGGAACCCCTCACGTCCACTTGAGCGGGGACCCCAGAGTTGAGAGCACGTAGGAAACAAACTAAAGTGATGGCTCTAAAAACAGCAAAATGTAATAGCATTGCTAAACAACCATGGGCACAGTCTTACCTTATACAGATCTCTGCAGAGGTAGAAAAAAAATCCTAGACATTATAAAAGGGAGACACATAATGCTGACAGTGTTGTTCTCAAACCCGCATTTATAAGCGAGAAAGGGACGGGCATGGAGGCTGAAGGAAGACAAGGTGGCCGCCGTGCGGTACCAGGCCAGCCTCTTACCGTAGTGAGGGATGATGGCCCAGGCCATGGCAGAGGCGTAGATGCCGCCGATCATCCAGAACATGCAGAGCCAGCTCAGGTGCTCACCCCGCTTCTCCCGGGCCAGCACTTCAGCAAAGTAGGAGAACACAATGGGAATGGCTCCTCCAATCCTGCCAAGAGGTACGGAGAATGAAATCAGGGCCTGGACAGTCATATGAGAGGCGAAGGGCAGAACTTAAGCCAGTTCTAACAACATGCTCTCCACCCCAGCATACCAAAGAATGTATATATTTTTATCATTTTATAACTTTAATANGGCATAGGCTGCAGTGGGGCTGGCCGGCAGTGGGCGTGAGCTTTCGTGAGCTGCCATGAGCCACCGTGAGCAGCCGCCTCAGCTGGGAAGAGCACAATGATAATACCAACTTGGGCCAGTGAAGCGACATCCTCCACAACTAGACTGAAGAACAAAAGGACAGCAACTTATTTGTTCCCCTTCCCCGATTACCCAATGCTGTTCCTCTCCCCCAATTCCCCAAAAAAATCTTCCAAAAAAAATTTGGATTTTGATATAGAGCCACTTAGGAAAACAGTTTAGCAGTTTCTCATCAATTTAAACAGACACTGTTACCAAACAATCTAGTAATCCCCCTCCTAGGAATGAAGTGAAAATCCAAGAGAAATGAAAACATCGTTCACCCAACGAGTTGTACTCCAATGTGCAGAGGAGTGTTACTCATACCAGCCCAAACTGTAAACAACCCAAAAGGTCCACCAACTGGTGAGTGGACCAACAAACCGTTCCATTCCTACGATGGAAAACTACTCAGCAACCAAAGGGAATGCACCACAGACACACCCAACCACACAGATGGCTCTCACCGGCATTTCACCACGTCAGAGTCTAGACACAAAAAATTACATATTGTATGATTACATTTATATGAAAGTTTGGGAAATACACAAAGCCTAACATTGCCAGAGATGGTGTGAAAAAATTGACTGCAAAGGGAAGTTTCTGGTGATGGAGCTGTTCTGTGTCTTGACTGCAGTGGTAGTCACACAATTGTGTACTTTAGTCAAATCTCATCACTTAAAATTGATGAATTTAATTATATGTTGTATTCATCTCCTATTGCTGTGTAACAAATGACTGCACACTTAGTGGCTTAAAAACCACACAAATTTATTATCTTGCCGTTCTGGAGGTCAGAAGTCCTAAAGGGATCTCACTGCACTATGAGCAAGCTGTCAGCAGGGCTGAGCTTCTTATGGGGAGACTTTCCTCTGACTCGAAACGTCTCACCTTCTAGGGGAGGTTTACGCATTTCAGCGCATTCTCTCTCTTTTCATTTCAGTGCATTCTCTCTCTTTTCGGTAGCTCTGAGCTCACTTTGGGCTATGCTGACAGAGTCTGGGTATCTGGTGTGGGATATGAACCTGGCAGCGACAAGAGCTTCCATTCTTGAGCACTAATTATGCACTGGGTGTTCTAACATGACCACCATGCACTTAATCCCCACCACAGTGCTGACTAGGAAATGGGGTTGGGGACTGAAAAGCTTAGCAAAACGCACAAACC